TTTTTATGTCAAGATAAGAAGGATTAAAATAATATGTAAATAGGATACTTGATTAAAATTATAAATGCATTAATTACTACTTGATAAAATTAGAAGCTCATTATTTAAATTTGACTTTTCTACACACTATATTTAGTAAATAGGATCCCTTTTAATATAAGTATAGATTGATTATATCATATAATTATATGTATAGTAATGATAAATAGTGAAATTGGATTAAAATTGAGTTAAATTTAAATTATAACTGAAATTTTGATTATAATTGATATCCAACTACACCAACCTTTGTTGGGCTTCATGTGAGGTGTACTGTTTATATAATTCTTCTATTTCAAATAATTGACTAATTATTATTCAAGTTTAATTCGTTAAGACAAACAAAATTATCTAACAGACATAGTTATATAAAAAAATTGAAAATTTGATTGTCAATTGACAATTGAAAATTTATAACTACCTTTATCAAAATTAAATGGTAAAAGGTTAAACTACAAACCAAATAAAAATTGAGATTTTGTCTAATTTAAGATTAAAAAAAATACTTTTTCTTTTCAAAACGCTAGAATTCATTACTAGAACACATAAATACAACCGACTCAGTAGCAAATTGAGAAGACCTACAAAAAGTAGCCTAGATGGCACAACAACACTACAAACACACAAAAGACTCCCGAACGAGATAATACACACTCCTCAAAGGGAAAATAGACTCTTCTATATTGAGAAAAAAACACACTCACACTTTAGTCACCACTCATACAAAGCAACAAAAACACAAAAATAACTAAATTAAAGCCCTTACCACAACATGCGAATCCAAACGAACAAGAAAATGACGCCAACACCCATGGGCAACCACCCACAAGGACAGAGACTGGGTCTAAGTCTCAAAGCTAGAAACTGCAGAATAAACGCCTAGATACATCCGAGATAAAAAGACCCTGCCCCGGCCGAGTAGACAATCCTTGGACTCGCAAGCGAAGATCCACAACATACTCCACCATTCCAGCCCCAACGACCCAGACTCAGGACACGAGACCCGACCCTGACTCGACTCCGCCAACACAACAAAATGGCCCAAAAGCAGAGAAAATCGAGAGACGGAAAGGACGTGGAACAACCCAATCTCAACCCTGGCCACCACCAATGGTAATGATTGAAGCCGCAACCCTTAGTCGAAGGTTTGTCGAAAACTCGCCGCCGCCCAGACGCCAAAGAATTGCTAGTCAAGACCCTCGTTGCCGACCTAAAAGGAGGCGAAATCCAACTTGGACGAACCCGCCGTCTCACTCGAGCAGAGGAAGCCGCCAATCCGACGAGTCTTCGAACGCCGGCCGCACGGCTTAGTGATGGCCGCCATCGAGATGGCCACGAGGCTGCTACTAAAAGGCGCGCTGCTCGGTCGATTTATGGTTTAGTGAAAGTGGGGAGAAGTGGGGAGAGAGGAAAAGGGGAATCTTTTTTAAAAATTTCCCTTTTTTTTGAAAAGATAAAAAAAAAAATACAAAATTACCTTTCAACTTCAAGTTATTTATAAAATTTTGTTTGCCTATGCAAAAATAAATTCTCGAAAGTTACTTACCTTAATTTATTAATTTACTTTCATCTCCCCATAAAAAAGATTCATATGCAGTCAAAAATCAGTCCTTTGCCGTTCAAGAATCTCCTACCTCCCAAGCAAAGACGACCGCAGCCGTTTGATTCGATCCCCAACACCACACAACTCCAAAACTCCAAAGCTTGGAATATTTTCCGGCGAAACTGTAGCCGGAGCCAATCGTATCGATCGATGGGTTCAAACGACGAGTTGCCAGAGGCCACGGTTCAGAACATACTTGACCAGGACTCGCTCAAGTGGATTTTCGTCGGCGGCAAAGGCGGCGTGGGCAAGACAACCTGCAGCTCGATACTGTCCATACTCCTCGCGCGCGTGCGGCAATCTGTGCTCATAATCTCCACCGACCCCGCGCATAACCTGAGCGATGCGTTTCAGCAGAAGTTCACCAAGACGCCGACCCTCGTCAATGGCTTCTCCAACCTGTATGCCATGGTATGTGGCTTCCCCTAATTGGGTTGCTGAAATTTTGTTTTGGGTTTCTTTTTAGTGTTCTGGTTTTTGGTTTATCAAGTGGGTGGGTTGTGTTTAGTTGGTTCGAGATGTGAAGGTGGTTCTTTAATGGATGGTTCTTGAGAAAAGGGGTTTTTGAATACGAGAGGTTTTAGTTGTGGAAACATGGATCCCCTAGTATATTCTGTTGTTCATTGAGTTTGATGTGCTATTTTTAGATCTTCTTATTGATAATTGTATGTGCATTGTGCTTGAATGTGTAGAGGTGTTGTTTGGTTGGCAGTCTCCTGATTGGTGGAAAGGTTTTAGCGGATATTGTTTGAAGAGCTTAAATTGTTGAGGGGATTCTTTATTGGTGTCTTATCTTAAAAGGTTGTGATCAATCGTCCGTGGGATTTTCTATCTCATTTGAATTTGCTTTGTGTGGAATTGAGAGTTACATTCAGTGGAATTGGATCAAGTGCCATTGATTTGAATAAAGTTCGATACATTAGCAGAATTGTCATTATTCTTTCGTCTAGTTATTCTGGCTTGTACAGAATAGATGTTAGAAAGGCAGGCATTAATAGATGAATAGAAAGAACATAATAGTGTCTGTAAATATAGTTTGCCCCTAGTGGATTTTGTGTGATAATTGATGCATGCATTGCCATATGAAAAAGATGTTCGATCATTGACGTGCTTCTGGTTGCAAATTTGATTTCTAGGAAGTTGATCCGAATGTGGAACATGAAGACAGTCTTGGTTCGGATGCTACTGATGGATTTATGTCTGAATTAGCAAATTCAATCCCAGGAATTGACGAGGCTATGAGTTTTGCTGAAATGCTCAAGTAAGCTTGATAACTTTTTTATGGCAATTTATTGATTAGCCTGAAAAAGCGTTGTTTTGACTGTTTGTACATTTGTTAATTCGAGTTAGTTGAACACTTGTGTCTATTTTCTTGGCTAAATAACATCTTAGACTCTTCCAGGAAGTAATTTTTCATAATAATTTATACTCGGTTTGAACGTAATATTGGTTTAGAAATACATTCTTTTCTTTTTGTCCCTTTTCTAAAGATTTAATTTATTTTGTAGTATCTAATAAGTGTTTGAACTTTGAAACCCCTTTCAAACTGTCTTATTAGTATGCCTCTCAGTTGAGAGTGAAATACTCCAAATTTAAAATTCATCATTTTTTTTCTATCTAACGCAGTGAAGAAATGTTTGATTTGTAAATTGTTATGTATGACCCATATATTCATTCAAAAGTCCAAAACTTGAACCGATAAATATCTTCTTTCAGGCTAGTTCAAACTATGGATTATTCCACCATAGTATTCGATACAGCTCCAACTGGCCATACTCTCCGGCTGCTACAGTTTCCTTCAACATTAGAAAAAGGACTTTCCAAGGTCATGAGTTTGAAGAATAGGTTTGGTGGTCTGTTGAGCCAGGTAAATCGTAGTGTTCACTTGCTATATTAGATGCAATGAGTGTTACATTCACAGGGTGGTGATTGAATTTGCCACTTTAAGTGCATATTAGAAATGGAGACTTGCGACTGATCATATGTATGGTTGACTAAGGGTGTGATTGTTTATAAATTTTCTCAATCCGTACTCAATTCATACTCAAATTCTAACTCAACTTTAACTTACCACTATCCACAATATTATCAATATTAGTAAAATAATACCAACCAATGATTCTTACACATCAACTTTAATTTACTATTCATCCCCTCACATGATTTTAACTATCACTTCACATCATCTCTCTCCTACTTTTACATCAAATTAACTTTAATCATTTTATTTTAAATATTATTTTAGTATAATCTCAAAATCCTACTAACAACTATCATACCACCGTTTCTTAAAATTAACCATGGTTAACTAAAAAAACCCGTGTTGAGCGGATATATTTGTATCCAAGCATGCCCTTAGTTTCTCATAATTGTTGAGCATGTTTGTTTGGTGTGAAGATATTTAGCTTCCAACCATTTCGTGGCAGATGACTCGTCTCTTTGGTGTTGAAGAAGAGTTCGGTGAGGATGCTATCCTTGGAAAGCTTGAGGGCCTGAAAGATGTGATTGAAAAAGTGAACGAGCAGTTCAAAGATCCAGTAAGATATAAATATTTGTACTTTTGGTTTTTCCTTTGCAAGTCATTAAGGTTGCCAATTTGCCATGAGTTGCGTGGCTGCTATTTTGAAATTAAGTAGTGCCAGATTTTACTAGGGATGTGCTAATAACAAAAAAATGGAGCTGGTGAGTATAAGAAGGTATTGCTATGAAAATATTCGTCGATGTATAAAAAAGGATAAGATGGGTTGTGTTGGAAGGTTTAGTTGCAAACAAGATATTGACATTTAGTTACGTTATGCTGGCGATTTAGCTTGATCATATGTGAGCAAGAAATGTTCGGTTAAAGACAAATAATCGGTTAATAACTTCCTTTTTTTTTTCTTCCTGGAGCTATTTTAATGTGAAATGACTCGGTAAATCAAAATCTACACTGGTCACGAGATATCATTGTAGGATAATATTACGATTTCATGTTTGTATAATAAGCTTGAATTCCCATTTTGATGGGGTCTCCAAACAATTTTGTTGATGAATTATTTATTTAGTTATTTATTTATTTTGTGGCAGGATTTGACAACATTCGTCTGTGTCTGCATCCCAGAATTCCTTTCTCTTTACGAAACAGAACGCCTTGTCCAGGAGCTCACAAAATTCGAGATCGATACACATAACATCATTATCAACCAAGTAATTTACGATGATGAAGGTAATGT